TTCTGGGTCTCTCTGACCCAGCTGCAGTTTGTTAGGTAATTTTAGAGGTGCAAAGGGCCAGGCCCTTTCATATGCAAAAGCCTCTGCGCACAGCTTGGGTGGGGCGGGGTCTCAGGGAATCAACAGGGCGGAGCAAACAGCTATGGCTGATCCTCAGTCCTGCCCTAAGAGGCCCCGTGTCTCAGTGTCCCGCGGTAATCACTGCAAGCACCTCTGAGAGAAAGCCACCCTCGAGTTCTGACCGATGCCAGACAGTCCAGTTTCTCCCTGTATGAGTCTGGGTCCCCAGAGACTCGCCTGAAACTGGAGTTCAGAGCAGTTGGGAGCGTGTGTCTCCCTCCCGATTGAAAAAGACAATTGCGTCCTCAGTTACCAGTCCTTTCTGTGTGCACCTCCGTACCTCTGCACTTTACTTCCGTACCTCCTCCGAGTCTCAGTGTGCTTTTCTCTTTCCTTCTAGTTGTAGAATTTCCACTCAGCCAGCCTTCCTGTGGTTCTGGATGATGTCCGTTTTGTCTTTTAGTTGTATTTTTGAAGTGGTTGTTCGAGGCAGCAATTTCAGGTGTTTACCTATGCCGCCATCTTGGTTTATCCCCTTGAAGGATTTAAATCATATTCCGGAGAATAAACATCATCACAGATTAAAAGTCTAAATAACACTATGTTAGAAGTGTTAAAAGTACATTCTTTTAACATTTTGACAAGGAAATGGTACCTAAAGAAATTTTTTTATATATTTTTATTGATTTCAGAGAGGGAGAGATAGAAACATCAATGAGAGTCATGGATTGGCAGCCTCCTGCACGCCCCCTGCTGGGAATAGAGCAGAACCCCAGGCAAAATCCAGGCATGTGCCCTCACCCCAAATCCAGCTGTGACCTTCTGGTTCATAGGTGGAGATGCTCTGAACCACATGGCACAGAGATTAGAAGTTTTAAAGGTAATTGGTATCAGTAGGTCAAAGTGATATAAAACAACAAGGAATAGATCACCTACTGTCTACATATGTGTAGTTGCTGGTGTAATACCGATTTATGTAAAGTAACCTGTATTTATATTTACTTTTTGTAGTGTTTCTGTTAAGTTCCTTTTTTTTTAAAGGCTGAAAAATCACTTGGACAAAATGAAAATTAATACTATTTACAACTCTGCAGACTTTTAGGTTTAAACTGCAAACATGATACTGATACCGAATTTTTGGACTGGAACCCGGATTCTTTGTCCGCCAGAATTGAAGAATGAATCCACGGACAGAAAGTGGTATAGCAAAGGTGGAGATTTATTGAAGGACAAGTACAGACTCCCACATGGGGAGAGGGAAAGAGTCCCACAGAACGGACTCCCACGTGGGGAGGGGGAAAGGATCCCACTGAGTTCCTTTTCCCTATGGCTTATAAAGGCTACAGATCCTGGTACCTTGATATCCCTTCTGATTGGTCACTCTTCCCCTAGACTGGTTACTATAGTAACTCCTGGGCTGGAAGGTTGAACCTCACATGGGACATGTGAAGTTCTCCCCGCTTCTTTCCTTATTGTTTTTCTATTCCCTTCGGGCTTTCTTCCTCTCCTTCTGGATGAAGGGCTTCCTTCTCTTAATTTTGTAAATATAGACCTTTTGCTGTTTCCAGCTCCCTCATTCTATGGAAATGTATCTGTTGCAGCTTTCCAGCTCCCCAATTCTATGGAAATATACCTTCTGCTGCTCTGCAGCCCTGTGCTTTCCTCCACGGTCCCCTTAATTTCCAAAATTTCCTATATTCCCTAACCTGTCCTATCTTACCCCTAAAATTCCTGTTTCATTACTGTAAGCAAAAATGCTATAGTAAACTGTGTTTAGGCCCAGAACACCTTGTTGCAAAAAAATTAAGAGGAATTAGAAAATCCATATAATATGAATGGACAGTAGGGCACTTAAGAGTGAGGTGGGTGTGTAAAATGCAGACTTTGAAGCCCTACAAACTTACTAGAGATGGGCTGCAAACTTTTAAAAAATATTTTTATTGATTTCCAAGAGGAAGGGAGAAGGAGAGAGAAACATCGATGATGAGAGACAATCATCATTTGGTTGCCTCCAGTACCCCACCCCCACCCCCCACACCCCACTGGGGATCAAGCCTGAAACCGGGAGCATGTGACCTGGAGACTTCCTGGTTCATAAGTTGATGCACAACCACTGAGCCATGCCGTGGACTATAAATTGAGATCCAGTCCTTCCAGAATCCACTTTGAAGAGAACAACTGGTTACAAGATTTGACAAATTAGTGTGTCAGGATTGCTAATTGTCCCCTGGTGTCCATTGTCCGACTCCTCCTCTTCCTTTTCCTCCTCTTCTTTTTTTAAAAAATAACTGCTTTACTATATCTTCTTGTAGTAATAGAATCTTACTCCCTATAGCAGGCAAATA